TTAATTCACCCTATTATTAGGTCGAATGAATTTTTGGGCATTCAAAAACACACTTAATTTTCTACGACGGATGTGACCCATCGACAGGATGCTCACTCCTGTATGGCACCCGATCCAACCTCTGATGTTCTTAGAGATCATTGTTCTACGATGTCAATGGACTTAATTGCTTGGTTTCAGATGTTATCTCAATATTTCATTACAAGTCCAAAAAGCCCTATGAAGTAACAGTATTTAGAAACCAAAATAATTGCAAACACTTGATAAAACGGCATACATGGTAAACTTAATAATTTCACTTACTTGAGTTGGTATAAACAGTGGTTTTGCTGATGATTTGTTCCATTTCATTCAATTTAATTCTATCTCTGACATTCCAGTGTTTTAATGTATGATCATATATTTCTTTTCCAGCTGTGTTACTGAAAAGTATCATATTTTAGATTGAACATCTCACAGTTAACCCCTATCAGATTCTGCTTATTAGCTATGGTTTTTCAATTGAAATATAAATTAGGGTTAAGATGACTTTAGATGGCAAAGACGCTAAACCATTTTGGCATACCTTGTGGTGCAAATTAAGAAAGATTATTTATAAACGGAATTGTCGACGGAATTTTCCGTTATCAGCAGGGGATGCTCACTCCTCCATGGCGCCTGATTCCATGTCTGATGTTTTAGAGGTCCGTGTTTGCCCTGCTCCTATTTTGTATTGTTTATGGACTTTTGATCTTGAATACTGTTTGTTATCTCCATATGTTTCATTTGTCTCAACATTGCTTACCTTAAAAACAAGAAGATGGCTTTTCTGTAGTCAGTACCCGACAGGTGCTCGTGGAAATCAAGGTAAGGTGCCAAAGTATCGATGACTCCAGGTGGCATTTTATCGATTTCATCAAAGATAAATAAAGACTGTTCACATTCTTTTACACTGTTTTCAACCAACTCTTTCAATTTCTCCTAAAAATGGAAAATTTCAGTGTACTTTTCTCTTCTTCTAATTTTATATTATCAAGGGAAATAGAGATTCTTCTTAAAGGTGCATAGACACAGATTTAAAGTTTCCTCAAATTTTCTGTATAATATTACGCATTATATATTACATTTATTTAGCATTTCACACAAAAATATATTTAAAATCTTATTTAATCTAAAAGTTATTGAAACATCATTTTTGGGGCGGGTTTGATGGACACATCTTTACACTTTCACAATTTTTAATTTAATTCTTCATACTAAAGTCTTAAAATTATAATCCAGAAAATTCAGAGTAGAAATGTTCGAAAGGAAAACATACACACAGTGTATTGTTAGTCCGTGCAGTTGTGGTGAGCAGACTTTAACAATTGAACACACCCGGTGAATCGTAAACCTTAACAATAACAGATCTCATGTCTTGTTTACAAAAAATGCGTACGTTTCACGGGAGTGTTTAATTTCCTCAATTCTGTACACAACACTAAGCGCGGAATGACGATACTTACTCCTCACTAAGATATTGACAGTAGTGAAAAAACTTCAAGAGTACTGTGCAACAATATATTCAAGAAGTGGTGTGAATCAGATGTGGATATTCAAAAATTCCAAAGACCTTTTGAATCACAAGATCAACAGCATAAAAAGTTACGACTCTTCAACACATACACAACCATTCCCCAAGATAAATAAAGTCCAGCAGGCTTTTTATATCATTCACAGCTACTTTTTCATTAAAAATGGAACTCGTAAATTTAATTACCTTGTCATTGGTCCATTATTTAAACACTGAATAGACGACGGATTTTCCCGTTATTTCCCGATCATAACAAGGAGCAGACGGCGGATGTGACCGGTCGGCAGAGGATGTTCACTCCTCCATGATACCTGATCACATCTCTGATGTTTCTGAGGTCCGTGTTTTCTCTGCTCCTGTTTTGTATTGTTTTATGGACTTGTATATTGAATACCATTCGTTATCTCCATATCTTTCTTGTGAAGGTGTTTTGCTTTCGAACATTTCTACTCTGCATATAATTATTTTTCAGGATGTAAGTTTTAAAATTTTTTCATAATTAAAAGCAAGATTGCCGTTTTCACAAGTATTAAGAATAAATTAAAATTTGTGAAAGTGCATGGGTGTGTCAATCAAACCCATTCAAAAATTTGAAGTTTTAAAAAGTTTTAGATTAAATAAGATTTTTAATTTATTTTCGTGTGAAATGCAATTGCAATATATAAGTCGTGCTGTCATACAGAAAAGATGTAACTTGTAATATGTATATGACTTGGAAGAAAGTCTCCGGTGAAGAGATACTTTGCTATTTACCAGTGGTTCTTGAAACCAGAAGTCTCTGTCGAGACTGAAGCTCTACTGGTTTGTACTTATAGCAAAGAAAGAGAAAAGTACTTAAGCAGTTAAAAATTGAAACTTCACAACAGCAATAAATAAAATAATGATCCTTGATAAAGTCTCTCTATGTTCTTTGTATAGTCTACTTGTGCGCCAAGTCATACTGAAATCAGACCAAAACTGTAGGAGGAGAAGCATTTTGTAAGAAATTTCAATGAAATTTTTATTTTAAGTAACCATGGCAACACCATTTATCAAAATCAAAAACCGATAAACAGAATTTTGTATCTTAGTGTAGTCTATTTGTCTGCAAAGTTATATTGAAATCAGAACAAAACTGTAGGAGGAGTAGCATTTTGAAAGAATTTCACAGAAATTTCTATTTTTGTGCCAAGTTATATTGAAATCAGACCAAAACTGTAGGAGTAGGATTTTGAAAGAATTTTCACAGAAATTTCTAATTTTAGTAACCACGGCAACACTATCGAAATCAAAAATCGATACTCAGAATTATGTATTATAGTGCAGTGTACTTGTGTGCCAAGTTATATTGAAATCAGACCAAAACTGTGGTAGGAGTAGCATTTTGAAAGAATTTCACAGAAATTTCTATTTTTTGTAACCATGGCAACATCGTACAATGAAATTAAAAACCGATAAACAGAGTTATGTATCTTAGTGTAGTCTACTTGTCTGCAAAGTTATATTGAAATCAGACCAAAACTGTAGGAGGAGTAGCATTCTGAAAGAATTTCACAGAAATTTCTATTTTTAGTAACCACGGCAACATCGTTAATCGAAATCAAAAACTGATAATCAGAATTATGCATCCTAGTACAGTCTACTTGTGTGCCATGTTATATTGAAATCAGACCAAAACTGTAGGAGGAGTAGCATTTTGAAAAATTGTTTACAGACAGACGGACAGCTGGACGGACGCCGGACGCATTACTATCGCATAAGCTCTTCTGGTCTCTGACCAGTAGAGCTAAAAACGTCGAAATTGTGGAAAGTGTACAGACGACGGAAGCCAGACGGACGCTGGATACTCTTTGATCAGAAAAGTTCACTTTAGCCGTAGACTCAGGTAAGTTAAAAACTGCAATTTAGAAACCTAAATATGATTTAATCATTCCCATTTTTGCAAAGTTACCTTGTAAAGTGGTGCCATATCAGCATGAGGGAATTCTTTATTTGTTGATATGAAATGGACATACTTGCTCCTCATTCCCTCTTGATATAGACCCCCGGCGATAATTCTGCTGACATGGTTCTTCCCTGTGCCAGTCCCTCCATGAAACGAGAGTACTAGCGCTCTTGTTGGATCTTTTGTCATGTGAGCTTGCAGATGCTTCATAACGACATCAATAGCTAGATGCTGCCCAAATACTCTGGCTTGAAGGTCCTCGCGGAGGGCTGTAATTATTCAGCATATAAATCAAGTTAAGTAGTAGCATCGATATAACTGTTTGCATTATGTCTCGAAATACAAAACATCTGTACAGTATTTAACTTGAAAAAAGACGTTAATGGAAATCTAACAACCAAGCTTAATGATAAACGTGATGACTTGAACTTTTCGATCGTCAACCTTCCTTACTTATTGCCTGACGTCACGGCGTCAGGCTGTATAAGGATTGATAATTGCTTGATCCGAAACTAACAGATCATACCCAGAGAGCTAGATTTTGTGCAAGCTGATTTACCTTGGAAATCTTTTACCTGCATTTTAAAGAAACATTTTTCAGGGAAACAATGATTTTACTTATGCAAAATAATGCAGTATTTACTTTGTTTACTCTGTTTGCATGAAACAGATTATTCCATGTGATTTACCGTTTCAACGTGTCCGTGTATCTTTTTTTCTGCATTTCTATACTACTGGATCAGTCCATTTATATTCAACAAAAGGGGTGAATCGCTCTTTTCGCGCCAAATGTCACGAGTAAGCGATCTTCGCGCCTTTTCTTGGATTGTTCTATTAATATTGTATGAATGGGGGTGCTAACTTCCATGGAATTAAATAAAGTTTGTTATTGTAACCTCCATCTTCTTATGATTCAGAAATTCTGTCTAATAAATTTTATCTTATTCCTTAAAACAACATATGAATCTATGTATCAGAATATGGACATGCAAAACAAAAGAAATGATTTCTCTAATTTGTTTCCCCTCTGTTGGTTTATTCCAAATTTTAATGGACTAGTCCAATCACCACAAACGATCGACGCAGTTTGAACCAGATTCCAGACGATTTGATGACAGAAATTACCTGTGCGAAATCTTGGATTTCTTTTCCACAAAGGCCTAAATATTGGTTTTACCTATTTCGTTCTCAAAAAATTATAGTACCCACCTTTCAGAAAAAAAAAGATCGATGAACACAAACTACTACTGTTTACGTCATTGGAGAAAATACTTTCTTGCAACATATGTATTTAGTTGTATCCATTCTCTAAAATGTTCACAATGAATGATTTGACAACAGATTTCAGAATAGGTGTAGCTTTAAATTTAGATCCAGGGGTAGATCAATCTACTTGCAGAAAAGTCAATCGCATCATCTCGGGTCTTTTCCTCAGAGGTCGAAAAACAGACTCGAATGTATCCACTTCATCGGATGTTAAAAATTTCTACATTTCCTGTTCATAGTAAAAACGGAGTTAGAAGTCCCTTCTATAGTATATTTTAGATAATATCATTACATTGAATAAAGTCAACTCCATATTCCACAGATAATTACCGTCTTCCTTGGAAGACGGTATTGTATAGTTGAAGTTTTTTACAGTCTTCGGACTATGCATTTCCTCTCTTTTGTGATTGGTAGAAAATGCATGATGAGAAAATTTTCAATTATTTCATTGGTTGAAATGCTGTTCAAGGCAAGGGAGATAACTTTCTGATGATCTAATTTTTGTACGACTTAACAATTTTGCAAGATTTTCAATCTTTAAAAAATGACAAAACGAACAACAAAATCAGCAGTGATTAATTCCTAATAACATGATTTGTTGTATAGCAATAAATAAAAAAAATCTCTTTAATTTCATTATAATAAAATTTGATTTTTATTGCTTGCAGGCTTTACAATTTGTTATTATTCTTTTCCCCTTTCTTGTTTGAAGAAGGGAATGGAATCAGCCGAGGTTTGCCGAAAGTCAAAGTTTACGGAGATGCAATCGGCAATCCTCGGCTGACTCCGCTACGCTCCATTCAAACGTTATGTGCGAGGTACGAGTCATCCGAGGAACTCCGAGTGACGGAGATGACCGAGCGACAACCGTGGTAGGGCTAATGCCAGTAAAAAGCTAATGTAGAAATACGAAATCAAGAAATTCAAAAGAATTATACGGCCTGATAGGTGTAGATCAGCTTACTGTTTAAGACTGTTGCTAAAGACGGTAAGCTTTTTTAAAAAGCTCTACTTGTAGGTCTATATGCATCGTCCATGCTTTTATTTTAAAGTTGGTGAAAAAGGGGTGGGGGGGGGTCATGGCGTATAAATTGACAATACATTTGTTGTCTCTTCCCTAGATAAGGCCCGAGAAGTGGGACCGAGGAGTTGCGATTGGCAGAAAACCATTCTGTTACCAACTCTTCAGAATGCAACAAAGGCATCGTTCTTTTAAAAGTTAAATAATTAAATATTTTTACAAGGTTCTCAAATAAAAAGACATAGGGGCCTATTTCAAACACAGAAAAGTATTTCTCAAAAGGTTTATCACTTCTCTTACCATTGGCGGATCCAGAGGGGGGGGGGGGTCCGGGGTTTGGAACCCCCCCCCTTTATTTTTTGCCAAGTGGAGAAAGAGAGAGAAAGAAGAGGGATAAAACGTTTCCCGAGAATAAGTATTTATACTTCTAACTTGACTATGTATTGAATAGATAGATTCTCACACATTTAGTTTTTCCATTCACCTTCACTGTTACTTTTAATGAGTGAATGGTAGAAAAATATTCTACTTATTTTTATATATCTTATATATGATATGTAACATGCGAGGTTATATTTGATATTAATTTCCCGCGATCTCAATTTGGCTGTGTTGGCTATATACAAGAAGGTGCCGTTTTTTTCAACTAAATCTTATGAAGGAACTAAAATTTAAATCATTGTTTTATACCCAACCCAAAAAGGATTTTCAAATTCTTTAAGAAAATTCATTCTACTCTTCGGAAATGCTGCAAATCCATTCAGTTTTAAGGCTTCAGTAGTTTTTTTTTAAATGTATTAATTTTTTTATACGGACTGGGGGTACCTTTTCAAAGAAAAAAGGACGTAGAACAAAGATATTATTTTCCACAATCTTATATTATCCCATACATGTGTGTGAATCTTTGCCTGAGAGTGTGTAAAGGGGGGGGGGGGGGTTAGAGGGACACAACCCTGGAACCCCCCCCCTCCTTCTTTCAAATATTGCTGGGTCCGCCCCTGCTTACAGATATTGATTGATTAAGTCAGGCAAGCTTTTTGAAAAGCTGTTACTTGTGCAGCAATATACCTTCATCACCTGCATATGGGGTTTATATTTCTCAATATTGATTCATACGCAAGACCATGCTCTACGTTTGTACAATATCTAAAGCGAGTCATATTAATGACAGCGTTTATTCTGGTGTCAACAAATTCAAATACAGATTTACCTGGTCTTTTCGAACAGTTGATTTAAAAACTTTCAAAGGAGCAGAGTTTAGTTTGATGCGAATACAATGAGGACTTTATTAATTATTAACATACGTTAGAAGTGAATCAAAAGACATCGAATAAAGTATTTTATTTTTTGCATATAACATTTTTTAAGCAAGATGTTTTTGCTAGTTTTGGTTATTATCTATACATATTACATAATAAAGCTTTCTCAACCAGTAAAGTATACAAGGGAATAAGATATTTGCAATCAAACAAATACGCCTGATCAAGCAAAATAAAGTTTTCTTATATAAGAAGTATTTCATTGTGTAATAAGGCATATTTTAAGACAATATCGGTGACAACGCTTTCGTCTTTGGGAGTTGTTTTAAAAAGTCCATCACTCATTAATATTTACAAATAACTGATAGAGTAGATTGATTAGAGTAAAATGACGTAAGACTTTTAATTATACCCCGCTTGAAAACCGGAAGGGTATATACTCACTCTAAAGTGATCGGGGTATACGTCCGTCCGTCTTTTGCGCTTTAAGGTACCCATCTCTTATCCGCAACTCCTTCTATACCACTGAACGGACAGATATTTCTAGTTTCCCATTTTCTGCATTTTTTGTGTACATATTTAATTATATGCATGTGCCAAGTAAAATTTTAGATGAGCATTTATTTAACAAGTTTTAATAATGTAAGAAAAGCGTGGAAAGAGGGGATCCTAAAAGAAAGATCTACGAAACCCTCGATAAATAGTCTAAGCTGTGGGAAAAACAATAAAAAATATTTGTAGGACGTGGTTTGAGTAAATTGAACAATTTTGTTTTTTAAACAGATTGCTGGTATTTTCACCTGTAGCATTTAGGTGGATCCAGTCCGCTGTACAACATTCTTTAAAATAACACTTGACCGGTGTGTAAGCTGTGTATATTCCTGCGAGTAATGCCGTTCCAACTCCCCCAGCAACTAGAAATGTATTGATTTCAAGAATAAAAGTGAAGAGAACACAAACTACGAGCCATTTTACAGAGCCCATGATGGAATTCCGCGAACTGCAAAACGAAAATGGAGGGGTCGCTAAGGAAGTTAAGTTTAACATAACAATGCAGCTATGATGATACTCAACCGAAATATAAATAGCAAGCATTTCTAACACATAAAAAAAATATTCAAATAGAGTATTTCAATAAAAGGATTTGAGGTAATAAGGAAGATATTTCATTTAGAATCCATTAGTCATTATCTTTAATTTTAGTGGTCTACTACTATTGATTAAACTATGAAACTCCAAGTACACATGTTAATGTGTTTTTAATGAAGTATATGATAGTCAATAGATGACAAACAAAATTTACAAGAAACATATATTGACGCAAGGAAACCAATTAATTTCCTTTTATAATAATTGAAAAAAATATATATATTCTTGTGACATTAAACGCTTGTGCACTTTGAATAGCATGTATTTCAATAAAAGGATTTAATTAAGAGATTTACAATAAGTTTAAAACTAAAGTTTAATGTAATCTATTTCATTTTAATTTAATAAAAACGCAACAAATATGTGGGAATCCTTGAATCCTTTCATAAGTCATTATCTTTAATTTTAGCCAGTGGTCTTTTGATGAATTAACATTTAACTATTTTTGATGTATATATGCACATGTGTACACGTGACAACAAATCTTGTTTAAATAGAGAAAGTAAAATTGTGCAAGTACACATGTTAATGTGTTTTTAATGAAGTATAATATGATAGTCAATAGATGACAAACAAAATTTATGATGGACAAACTTTATTTACTGGCCAACGGTGACGTAAAATTATGAAGAAATATGAAATTGAATGGTACCCATCTCTTATCTGCAACTCCTCTTATACCACTGAATGAAATTTAATGATACTTCCACAGATTAATCTTTATTACATAATGCCATTGTACGCCTCTCTTACTTTAAGTTTTGATCTGACACTTATGTCGGGACTACCAGAGCCAAACATGGACTTTACCATTATGAACATATAGGAGGCGAGGTATCATTTAGTGAGCTCCTTGCTCACAATTTCTGTAGTTTTACAAATACTGTAGATTAGATATTTTAGTTTTGTGCCTTATTTTGTAAAGCTATTTCAACAAAAGTAAAGTCTATTTACTATTGTTGTTTAGATCGGTGAAATAGCCCCTGAGTCCCTTTTCTTTAATATAAGGTGCGTTATTTTTTTTTCAAGAATTTTTTTTTTGTTTATACATATTTTTTCAAGGTACGTTGTGTCTCCATGGTAAAATTATTGATGTACACCCTAACGCATTTTGAACAAAATATCCAAAGTGCGTTAATTTTGTCCTATTTTTAACGCACTTGAAAAGAAAAATTGCATGCAAAGTGTGTAATTTTTTCAACGTGCTTTGCCACACTTCACATTCTCGATCCACAGTTCCGTTCCACTCTGACAGGGAAAAAATATTAATAAAACACTTCAGTATTTTCTTTTACTAATATTGAATTAATCATATGTGAATACTCGAAAACTCCAAGGAACCTATATAGAAAATTAAAAATTGACAAAATCAGAAACATCAGTTTGTTTGGTTTCTCAACACGACGTTTTTTTTTTCATTTTTCAATATTTAGTTTCATTCATCTGTTGATTCCACATATCCCATTGTACTTGAAATGGTCTACAGCATTTGTCAATATATGAATGAGGAAATGGAGGATGACTTTGATTGCAAACAGACAATTTTCATGTTAAACGTGATGACTTCAACTTTTCAATCATCAAACTTTATCCATGTAGCTATTACGCATTTAAACACATACATATGGAGTGAGTTGCAAAAGCTTATATATGCTCTAGTCCTATTTTGCATTGCATTATGGACTTTTGTTCTGGAATACTGTTCGTTATATTGATTCAATGTATAAGAATTTAAAAAACGAGGCAAGCTTTTACCAAAAAGGTTGATGATACAAATTTATTAACAAACTCGTTCAATGTATCACTTCGCAACTTCTATGGTTGATACAATAACCTTGTTTGTACATTTAATATTCTTAAATTAAGTCGAATATTTACTGAATTTTTCATACAAATTGTTAGGTCATTTTCCAACTGAATTTTTTTTTATCCTTTGCATGAAGCCTCAAGGTTAAGTCTCCTGCGTGGCGCAGTGGTAATACAGCGTCTGCTACAGAGTCGCGGAGTAAGGATTCGATCCTTAACGTCGAGAGGGACGGGTCCTTCGGAAAAGACCGTATAAACCGAAGTCCCGTGTCGTAGTAGGTGCTGGCACGAAAAAGGTCCCTCACTGCTCAAGGGCCGTAAGCGCCGAGTATAGGACAAAACGTGTAGCTCTCCAACGGCAACGTTAAACAACAACAACAACAACAACAAAACGATAGTAAAAAAGGCGGATGTGAGTTGACAACAGCGTATGCTTATTAATCCATAACACTTGATGTTAGCTAACTTTTTAGAGATCCATGTTGGCTTTGTCTATGATTGTATTGTTAAAATGGACATTTGAGAATGTATGGTACATGTAGGTTTTCTTTCCATGTAACTTTCTGCGCAAGTAGCTCTCTTAATGTTAAGGAAAAATAAACTTATAAATACACGTTTTTGATTATTTTCTAAACATTTTCTTAATTACAGAATACATTATTGTTGTCCTGTACAAAAATTTGTTTATACAGTATATATGATACTATGCCTTACATAGAACAGGCGGGAGATTAAATTTAAATATAATTATTTACATGTAAGTATATTTTTGTGTATCCTTTAAAAATGTTTTTTTAATCTGAGAAAAAATATTTACAATTATATACAATACATGTATTTACAAATATCTTATATTTTATGTGTCAAACATACATGATTTAAAACAAAAGATGTTCGTGTAACACTTATGCCCCCCCCCCCCTCCCTTGGACAAGGAACATAACTCTGCCAAATATTGCACGATCGTAACCAAAACATAACTTTTTTTCGTAGGGGCATAAAAAGCAAGTACTAGGCCTAGGAGACAAACGGCCAGTCCATATAAAGATAACGTACTCCTATCTGTATAAGCATACCCGTATCTATATAATGTATTATATAAGAATTGTCTCTTTATATGCACGCAAATGAAATGATAATTTATGTAAACAGGGTAATGAAGAGAAACTCAATATGACTTTGAATTTAATTGTTCGTCAAGTGTAAGCACTGGAAATATAGGACGACACAAAATTTTGATGTGGTACACATTTATTACATTCACAAATGGAATGAATAGCGAAGGTGAGAATATTACTTATAAGAATGGAAAGAATTAGAATTCCGATAAATTGTCAACGAAATGTTCAAGTACTTGGTATTTCTAAGACATAAGATTGAATCAAATAGTTTTTTTATTTCAAAAAAGTGCAAAGACGGAGAAATATTATAATGTGTTTCTGTTATAAAGCCAAAATTATTATTTTTAACCTTTATTTCCTGAATTAGTAAGGATATTAACAGTATGACATAATCAGCATGATTTGCGGTACTGTCGTAACAGGATTCGGAAGCAAGTTGAATAACAACCTGTACGAAAACCACAATTATTTAATGTACGTTTAACCTTACTGAATGACAGTAACAGTGGATAAGACAGATATAAAACTAGTGAATAAACTAACAATTGAACAGGTAATGTAAGTAAATGAATATAACGATCAAAAGAAAATGCTATTATACATGCATACATATGACAATAAAGCGAAAACTAGTTTTATATCCATTACAATATGTAAACTAAAACAAAATTTGACCTAAACACTTTAAGAAAGAATTAGCTAGTAAAAGAATTCTATGTCAATAAACTAAAAAGAAGATAATTTCCGATCAAAACATGCTTTTGAACACGATTAACTCAAAGAACTATCAAGTGGTAATCAGGCAAGTTTGACCCTGACCTTCACCAAATTATATCATATAATTGTCATTCACGCCTTCTATCTTTGAGCTAAATATAAATTCAAAATGTTTCTCTACCACTGAAACTGATTTTTTCAAATTAAGAGAAAAACTATAAAAAGATCTCTTTCGTCGTCGCCTGATCTGCAAATTTGAAGCATAGAAATGAAATACAAAAGGCTGTTAAATTTTTTCACTGAAAATAAAGAACATCAAAGTTTTATAAGTTAAACGAATATAAAATAGAAAATTGTAACAAAGAAGTTGACATTGTTAATGATTCATTCTATACTATACATTGAACATATTATTTGCTATATTAATACCTCCCTGCTTTACGAAGAAAATTTTTCCATGTCCTAAAAAATACACTGTAAAATTAAATAATTATAACTTTAAATTGAACATATACACAATATGCCCCCTGTATAATTTAGAGATGTGGTATATGGTTCGTTTTATCAACAATGACAGATCTCTCTTGCGGTCGAACAAACGTTTAACGGAACTTTTTTTGGGTTGGCCTGAGACCATCAAACCAAAGACGGATTTTAATCTGATAACTTGTAATAAAGCTCGATCATGGCGGACAAAGGAAGGCTGGACTCGGGGGATACTCGACAAGTTGACGATGCCGTGTTATTTGGAGTGAATGATAAGTCGCCTGCACACCTGACTGTTCTATTTGGATTACAGGTATGTTCAGGTAAAATATATATCCTCTTTTTTGTCGCCTGCGTGGCGCAGTAGTTAGAATGTCTGCTCTAGTGTCGCGAAGTAAGGGGTTGATTCTTACGTCGCGGGTTTGAATCCCACTTTGGGACGTGGAGACCGGTCTTTAGGATGAGACCGTATAAAATGACGTCCCTTGTTGCAGTAGGTGCTGGCACGAAAAAGACCCCTCACTGCTCAATAGCCCTATGTGCCGAGTATAGGACAAATTTTGTAGCTCTCCACCTGCAAGTGGTGGCGTCTCCATATGAATGGTAAATTGACGAGAGTGACGTTAACAACATATAATCATTCAAAATATTTCTATTTTTAGATGCAAGTACATGTACTTGCATGAAATATGTGCAGACTACGAACAGTATTCAAACTCAAATGTCCATTAAATATTAAAAACAAGTTGCTGTCCTTTAAAAAAGGACTGCAATACGTGGACGATATGCATGTGTTTCTACCGAAATTCAATTAAAGAAAATTTCTAGGTGTAGTGAATATTCATGCAGGTTTGTTCACATTTTCTACAATGATCCGCCACCCTATGACTGATTGTAGTCTCAAAGCAATTTTTTTTTAATTTTATCTCCGATTAGCCTATAGTTTTGTCAGTTTAAAAAATCGGGCTAATTTGATACATGTAATCCATAATGGCTGGGACTTGACATCTGTTCCGGATCTATACGGAAGAAATCTATCATGGGAAAAATAGATCTGATGGTACACGTGTAACACAGCTCTGTAGTACGCAGATTTTTTTTCGGAGCCCCCCTCCCCCACATTAAAAAACCGTTGCTACAGACCTCTGTCAAACGGTATTTGGATTGCTGAAATATCAAATTATTTTGCGAGACTTGATGCACAAAACAAATGCCGGTGAAAACTTGTTCTATCTTTTAAAAGCTAGAACTAGTCGTTAAATGGCGTTTTTTATTCAAGTTGTTAAGTTACATGTAATTTTATACTGCAAGTTTGTCCTATTCTTAAAAATGCTTGTGCCATAGAATCAATGTTTAGTTTGTATATAAAAGCATATGTGTAAGTGAGAAATTCGGATCCGCCGATGAATATATAAATACGATATGCGGATTTAAAAGCACAAATTGCCAATGAATGGCATATTATTTTAATTTGAATAGGGCGAAATATTCTACGGGCAAGTTGCCTAAGGGGCGAGATCTCTAGCATTCTCGCGCATGCGAAGCCTGTCGTTTGTCCATGGCATCCGGTTTAACCTCGCTTATATATTTACTGCGTGGACCACAGGGTCCACGCAATGATCAGCATTGCAAACACTCACGGACCTCCGAAACATCAGAGATGGGATCAGGTGCCATGGGTAGTGAGCATCCCCTGCTGATCGGTCACACCCGGAGTGTTCTCCTTGTCATGGTTGTGAAATAAAGGAAAAAGCCGTCGACAATGCAGTGTGTAAAAATGCCTAACAATTAGTATGAAAAACGCCAGTCATCTTAGTGATAGATCGTATTTGCTGACATGGTCGTTGTATAGACCACAGAATTGCTGATCGGTCACACCCGGAGTGTTCTCCTTGTCATGGTTGTGAAATAAAGGAAAAAGCCGTCGACAATGCAGTGTGTAAAAATGCCTAACAATTAGTATGAAAAAAGCCAGTCATCTTAATGATAGATTGTATTTGCTGACATGGTCGTTTTATAGACCATAGAACTTAGGAAATTATGACTTTAAACGAAACTGCTGATTTTCTTGTTCCGTCAACTTATTTGTTAATAACTTATGTCGTTTTAGAAATTGTTCATGCGTAGATCATGCTAGAAATGACTGAGAGATTAAACAATTTTCTTTTCGTTATAAATTGTTGCGAATAGGTGCGTCCGAACACAGTAGTCATGCATAAACGCCCGCTCGAAGAAAGATTTTATACGAGTGAGCAAACGGTTTATGAACCTTAAGAAGTGTTCCATTTTCGAGACATGCAAAAGTTCATTCATTTATATCAAGAGTGTTCGACTTTACATTCAGCTTTTCGAAATATGTTTCAGTAACATGTACTTCTTATAAAATTTCACCTCGATACCTGGTAAACGTTATTCAAGTTACCAATCAAAATACAATCTATGAGAAATATTGCCGATTTCTGAAGAAAAGGTTTGTGTTTTTTTTATCCTTAAAGCCAAGATATATATTATGCAAAAAGTGGTTAGATCTAGAACCATGAGACATACAATAAGTTTTTAGTGTCAGAACATCTCTTAAAGTAAATTTAAAAATTGTGTTCTAGTTTTGAAATATGTAGAATGCTAATGTATATAAATTCTTTTTAAGCAAGCTTTGATGTGTATCGGGGGTTCGCTCTCTCTGCCATATATCTTGACAGCTTTGCTCTGTCCAGTTGACGAGCAGAACGTGCGAGCACATCTTCTCAGCATCAGTATGTTCATGTGTGGGTTAGCAACTGTGCTTCAATGTTTCCTAGGTGTAAGGTTAGAATCTTAACAAGTTATTATGATACTTCACTTCATAATCATTTACTTATTAAAACTAGTTTCAGTTGATTCCAACTAACATTACTAGCATTATGTAGATTACCCATAATCCAAGGCGGTTCTCACACATTCGTAGCTCCAATTGTTGTCATGATGTCTCTAGAAAGGTTCCGGTGTCCAGACAATGGTACGTCGAGAATTACGGGTAAAAATAACCTGTTATCGGAAGCTAACTGTAAAAGCATAATTCAGAAAATTTTCTGTTATCAGTTCTTAATTTCTTGCTTAGCTAATACTTCTTATTATAATACTATGTAATACTACTTTTGTTTATTTTTTTTATTTAATATTCATTTATTTTATTATTATTACTTTTTTTGTAGAAAATTATCATTTAAAAATATCCTTGAAATCTAGAAAGCTTTTTAAATCAAACTTAGTTGTATTGCATCTTTGAATAAACCATACAAGTTATGAGTACTTATAACGTGTGGTTTGAATTTTTGACAGCTGAAGGACTTGATGAACAATCGGGCAATAACACCGTTATTGACTGGACCGTCAGGATGCGGGAGGTAACACATAGACCTCTGTTATTTCATGCATTTTTTGCTCGTTCGACAACAATATATATATTTCATTTCCAATTACTCTTATCGCCATTAATTTTATATACATGTAAAATAATTTTACAAAGTTTAATCGAGATATACATGTACACCATGTTTCTTTCATTTTCCCTAGAAATGAATATTTATTGCTAATTGCTATTTTATTATATGATTGAATAATTCCTATCGTTTTGATTGGCTGAGATCTAACTATATGGAAGAAATACTACGTTATATTTACCTGCACATGACGTTCCAGGTGAATACAAGGATTTATTTCCTCTACATTGATCTAAAAATAGATTGGGAAATTCCAAATTGATATAAATTGTTTTGGAAAGCTATTTAAAGGACTATGACTTTTTTTCATGTGAACAAAACATAAGCGAATATATATTTTCGGTTGAGAGTGATTATAGGAGATGCGGGAACCCCATTCCGACACTTTTACTGAATAACAATATTTACTTTTTTTCGGCTCTCAGTTTTCCCTGATAATAATACTCCTTCCTTTCACAATCTATACTATAAAAAAAGATTCACATTATATTTTTTTCATGGCAACTAAAATAATATAATAGATAAAAACATTTTAAATTGATACGACTGATAAGGTTTATTTACATTTTAATTCTGCTTCTCTCTTGTATTTGGCTTGGACTTAATTAAATGCAAACAAATAGCTATAGTGAGCTGTATCATTTTAACAGTGAATCATATAATAAAACAATTATTGCTGTTTTTTGGTCAATACAATGATTTAATCATCTTTGAAGTACAATATTCACCTCGTCCTTCGGTTTCGATGAATATTGTACTCCTAAGATGGCTAAATCATTGTATTGACCTAAAAAAAAAAACAGCAATAATTGTATAATATTGAATGGAAATCTTTCAAATCTTAATTTACTGAATCAATCTAATAATTAATTCCTGCCTTGATAAACAACACAGCGTCATTAGAATGTTTGTGTAGATACAGGGGAACCTGATCCTAGCCTCCCTGACTCAGGTGCTTGTCGGGAGCCTCGGTATCATTGGGACTATTCTACGCTTCGTCGGACCGCTAACTATCGCTCCTACAGTGTCGCTGATTGGTCTCTCTCTGTCACATGTCGTGGCCATGTTTTGTGAAACACACTGGGGAATATCCATGTTGTAAGAACAAAATTTTTCAATTCATCCAATGCAGTTTTACATCCAATATGTTTTCAAGAATAGATTGAAACAGAAAGTAATTTTTATTTCAGGACTCTATTTTTTCTTCTTTTGTTTTCTGTATTTATCAACAAAGTGGAAATACCGATTCCTTCGTTTTCACTCAAACGGAAGTGTCATATGAAGAAGATTCCGGTATTCCAGTTGTTTCCCGTTGTCTTTTCTGTCGCTATTGTATGGATATTCAGTCACGTGCTAACTGTAACAGACGTCTTTCCTAATAACAGCACTATTATAGAATACAAAGCCAGGACGGACTCCAAGATGGAGATCATGACGAAAGCACCCTGGTTTACAATTCCTACGCCATGTATGCATGAATTAATTAAATTTAATAATAAGTTTTAATCGAAATATAAAATGTAACCATTTAGGTAACAAAGTTTTTATTTCATAAATTATTTGACTACGCCTTGTTCTGTCTACCTGATCATTACATGCTTAGTCTTCCTAGGCACCTGGTCCCAGTTCTGGCCGGGATTTTCAGGGCTCCCAGCATATATTTGGATTACATAAAGATTTATTTTTAGATCGATCACTTTTCATAACATTTACCCTTTTCCTTACCTAAATCCCTTTCGTTAGAAATCATTTGAAAAACGGTAAATATATACAGATGTTTTCGTTTTATCTTCTATTTTCACTTTTTACACTAAAATCTCTTAAAATATCCAGACACTGGACTCCTACTTGCTTTTATTGAAGTGAAGCGATTTGTTTCAGCAACTTAACAAGGGTAGTGTCATACATATATTTTGCAAACAAACGTCAATTCACAGTTCAGTTTGGGATTCCAACAATAAGCGCGGCAGGTTACATGGGAATGCTGGCAGCAACAATTTCTTCTATAATCGAGTCAGTTGGAGACTATTTTGCGGCTGCTCGGTTATCTGGGGCCCCACTTCCGCCTGCGCATGCTATAAACCGGGGAATTGCATTCGAGGGTGTGTCTAGCATTATATCTGGATTGGTTGGAGCCGGTCACGCCACTACGTCATATAGCGGGAACATTGGAATCATTGGAATAACAAAGGTTCAGAAACAAATTAACTTACCTTACATGAAGATAAGTCGAAAAGAAAACTCCCTTCAACTGTAATTCCTTAAACATTCCATTTTGAATTTGTTATCTGATAAGACTTCTTTTCTATGATCAGGTGGCCAGTAGGACGGTGTTCATTACCGCTGGAGTCATCCTGATGGTGTGTGGGGTCATAGGGAAGCTAGGGGCGGCACTGGCTATCATCCCAGAACCCATCATCGGGGGGACCCTTTTACTGGGCCTGGGGATGGTGGCCTCCATCGGCATTTCAGGTTTTCATCAGTTGAAATAATCATGTCTAAATAACTAGAAAGAAGAATTGTGTTTTGTTTAATGAAGATCATATATAATAATTATAAAAAAAAAAATCTATTCAATTACAGTTACTCCTATTACGAAATGGAATCAAGATAATTTAATTCAGCATTTCAAACACCCTGTGCTTTAACGTATTTCCTTTACAGTGCTGCAGTTTTGTGACATGTCTTCTACTAGAAACATCACCATTCTCGGGGTGTCTTTCTTGATGGGTTTGATGATCCCTGAATGGTTGTCTGAAAACTCGGATAGAGTCAAAACAGGTATCTTTATAAATCCTTTTACGAAGAGCTCTGTTTGTTATATAATGAGCAGATGGTAAAACATTTAACACTTTGTTTTAGGTTCAGATGAATTGGACCAAGTGATTCGAGTTCTGTTTGGAACAGCGTCCTTCGCTGGAGGTTTTATAGGGTTCCTGCTGGATAATATTGTCCCCGGTATAGTCATATTTATCAACTTTATAGAAAAAAAATATAGATCCACAAACCAGAAGTTTCTAAAGTGAAGCTCTAAAGACTTGTACTTATTGCAAAGGAAGGGGAAGTAGCATTGCACATAAAACTATTCAAGAGCGTTATAGAATAATGGCCTTTGGTTTAGTTTCTTTGAATTTCAAGATTTATTACAATCAGACTAAAAACTGTTGGAGGTGTAGCCCTTTGAAGAATTTGATAAATTCCTCTAATTTTGGTAACCACGGCAAGACTCCATTGAACATACTTATGTATATCAGTGGCGTCTACTTGTTTGCAAGGTGATCTTGAAAATCATGGAAAACTGTACAAGGAAAAACATTTTGTTTGTTTGTTGTTTAACGTTCCTCTCAATAGTTTTTCTCATAATTCTCCACTTTTCGATGGAGAGCTGCAGATTTTGACCTATACTCACCACTCCGAGTCATTACGCAGTGAGGGATCTTTTCGTGCCAGGACCTACTGTGACACGGGACCTCGATTTATATCGTCATATAAGAAGGATATCAGAAGGATCGGTCTCCATGTCCCATGGTTGGATTCGAACCCGCGACGTAAGGATTAACTTTTGAGAGCAGACGCTCTTACCACTACATCAAGCGAGCGACTAGTGATATTTTGAAAAAAAAGTCTTTCACAGAAATTTCTTTCTTGGGGTAACTAGGACTAAAGTGCACACACAAACATAAAACGAAAAAAAAAACGATAAAACATGAGTCTTACTATTCTACATGTGTGCCACCAAATTTGTAGGAAGAGTAGCATTTTAGAAGTATTTTACGAATTAGAAAAAAAAACATGCATTAAATTATGCATTTTTGTGTAGTCTACATGTGTGCCAAGTTGAAATAAAGATCAGAACTGTAGAAGTCACGGTTTTGAATATTTCACAAAAATTTGAATTTTAAGAAACTATGGCAACACCGTCCCATTGGATTGCACTTTTTTAGTTTATAATACGTCACCCGCGTTGCGCAGTTGTTCGAGCGTCTTATCTAGAGTTAGCGGTGAAAAGGGGCTGAGGCCCATTTTACAAAAGAACTTACGACTACTAAGACCAAAAACTTTGGTTGATCGTAAACTTTTGCACAATTAATGACCGAGATTAAAACTGTTACCACGAAAATATCTTTCTTCATTCCTCTTTAAAAGCTTAATATATACTATTTTCAAATTTATGCAAACAAGAAAGTTATAATAAGCAGAATAAATTTTGGTCTTAGTTGTAAGTTCTGCAAAACGGACCCCCTGATCCCTACGTCGTGGGTTCGAACCCACTCTAGGACGCGGAGACCTATTGGTCGATTGTCCTGCGTGCCGAGTGCAGTTATAAAGTTGCAGCCCTGTACTGACAAGTGGCGGCGTCTAAAAAGAATCCTATTGCAATGACATTTTTTTTTATTTTAGGATCCAAACATGAAAGGGGCATCGACAGATGGGTGAGACTTTCTGACAATGGTGAATCGGAACCGGAAGTAGATGGCGTGTACGATTTACCTTTTGTTACTAAATATATCAGACGTGTCAGATTGTGTCAGCTTTGCCCAGTATCTCCAACGTTCGTAAAATATAGGAAATCATATCTCAAGATTCTAGCTCCTCAAGAGGACAGAGACACAAAATCAGACAGAGAGAATTGTAAAAGAAGTCTCGTTGAATTGAATTCAGATGTTTAAGTAATCAAACTAGTGAGAGTATGCTTTGACTTTTTATTCTAAATAAATGTGCATAATGGGAGTATAACATCTTTTAAATACTACACAAAGCGTTAAGGAGATTTTGACAAATATACTATTAAGCATCTTGTATAACTCCATTGAGCGTGTTTTCTGAAGTGCAAAACATCACCCATTACAAGTTGTTCTGAATAGGAGATATGATTTTTTCTATTCTTTAGTTTTTAGCTCACCTGAGCCGAAGGCTCAAGTGAGCTTTTCTGATCACATTTTGTCCGGCGTCCGTCTGTCCGTCTGTCTGTCTGTCTGTAAACTTTTCACATTTTCGACTTCTTCTCAAGAACCACTGGGCCAATTTCAACCAAACTTGCCACAAAGCATCCTTGGGTGAAGGGGATTCAAGTTTATTCAAATGAAGGGCCACGCCCTCATTCAAGGGGAGATAATTGGGAATTAATGAAATTTTGGTGGCATATTTTAAAAATCTTCTTCTCAAGAACCACTGTGCCAGGAAAGATGAAACTTATGGGGTAACATCCTCAGGTAGTGTAGATTCAAATTTGTTCAAATCATGACCCCCGGGGGTAGGGCGGGGCCAAAATGGCCGAACAAAGTTTTACATAGAAATATATAGGAAAATTCTTTAAAAATCTTCTTCTCAAGAATGACAGAGCCATAATTCATCAAATTTATATGGAAGCATCCTCAGGTAGTGAAGGTTCAAGTTTGTTCAAATCATGACCCCCGGGGGTAGGGCGGGACCAAAATGAACAAAGAGATAGAAATATATAGGAAAATTCTTTAAAAATTTTCTTCTCAAGAATGACAAAGCCATAATTCATCAAATTTATTTGGAAGCATCCTTAGGTAGTGAAGATTCAAGTTTGTTCAAATCATGACCCCCGGGGGTAGGGCGGGGCCAAAATGGCCGACCAAAGGTTTTACATAAAAATATATAGGAAAATTCTTTAAAAATCTTCTTCTCAAGAATGACAGAGCCATGATTCATCAAATTTATATGGAAGCATCCTCAGGTAGTGAAGATTCAAGTTTGTTCAAATCATGACCCCCGGGGGTAGGGCGGGGCCAAAATGGCCGACCAAAGTTTTACATATAAATATATAGGAAAATTCTTTAAAAATCTTCTTCTCAAGAATGACAAAGCCATAATTCATCAAATTTATATGGAAGTATCCTCAGGTAGTGTAGATTCAAGTTTGTTCAAATCATGACCCCCGGGGGTGGGGCGGGGCCAAAATGGCCGACCAAAGTTTTACATAGAAATTAATGGGAAAATTCTTTAAAAATCTTCTCAAGAATGACAAAGCCATTATTCATCATATTTATATGGAAGCATCTTCAGGTAGTGTAGATTCAAATTTGTTCAAATCATGACCCCAGGGGGTAGGGCGGGGCCAAAATGGCCGACCAAAGTTTTACATAGAAATATATGGGAAAATTCTTTGAAGAATAGCAAATCCATGATTGATCATGGGATTACTTTTGGATTTTAACTTTTCAATAATAAACCAATTTCTACTTTTTCTAAGCTACAGTACTCAGGTGAGCGATGTGGCCCATGGGCCTCTTGTTTTTAATACACCTTTTGTATAGTTAAACAGAATAATTTGGACAAGTTAGTGTTAATTTATTTTAGAAAGAGAGAGAGAGTGAGTGGAGGGAAAATGTCGTATGCGGTTAAAATGTGTATAGATCTATATTTGAAATAAAAGACTACCAAATGTATAGAAATATGTCAATACTAGTATGATAATCTATTGATACCGGTACCTCTTTGAACAGAAAGATTTAATGAGTACATTCTCTGAAACAATACCACCGAAATTTAGATGAAATATTGCCGACTTCGAGTAAAACTACAATAATTAATCTGAAACTTACTACATATGCTACATGGATAGCCTGGAGACCTTGGCATATAATACCAGTTTGCAAAAGAATTTGTTTATGAAGGTGCGTATGATTCAGTTGAATAGGTACCTGATGTTCGAATATTAGTCATTTTCCACAAGGACAACAGTGCATGATGGAGAGTCGGTCCTTACTTGACGGGTTCGAATCCACTGCGGGACTTCGAGACCGGTCCTTTGGATAAGACCATATGAACAGAAGTCTCGTGTGGCTGTAGGAGTTGGCACGGAAAAGATCCATAACTGCTCAATAGTCCCAAGTGTCGAGTACAGGTATTAATTTGCAGCCCTCCACCTGCAGGTAGTAGTGTCTCCTTATTCGATATGCAAGAACATGCTCTTTACGTATGAACAATTTTCAAAACGAGGTGATATTTCGGAGGTCCTTGTTTGCTCTGCTCCTAATTTGTAATTAGGACTTAAGACTTTGTAATATGGACTTATGAGCTAGAATACTACTGTTCTTTATCTTAGCATATTTCATATGAAAAATTATCAGGAAGGACATTACAAAAACAAACTTTGAAAATCTGAACCGAAAACTCGTTTGATACTTGAAACTGTTGCTATAGGCATGTGTCTAAATCCTCCAGGGGTTAACTGAATCAAATATTTTAGGTTTACGGTTACCAACACTATTAGAGAAGCACACAGGCGCTTGTTTCTGTAACAAATTTTTCCACCCATAGTATAATAATAATAACACAAGGTACCCAGCTCCGCATTACACGAAGAACACCCTCCCTTGAATTGCAGTCATTTAAACTTTCAAAGAAAAGGCACTGGCAATTAGAATATTGGTTTAAAAATGATTAGCAAAGCAAGTGCCTGTAGAGACTGCATGTGAAAGCCTCGAGGTTTTTTTTCCGGTTGCTTAATGTAGCTTGCCCTCTTGCTAAGGTTGCGGAATAAGCCAAGGCTCGCAATATATATGGCAAAGTTTATGCGAGTTATCCATCTTCATTTGGTACGAATTGGTAAAACGGCCAAAAAAGAAAATAACTATAGGCGCTCACTCTCAATATAATTCATCACTAATTTTCGTCATTTTGTTTTCACTTTTAGTCGTTGCAAATTATTTGAAAAGTTGACATATAGTCGAAAAGGTACAAAAATTTTAATTTCATGGACCCTGGGGTTTTAGGAGTGAGGCTAAAATAATGAAAGCTTGAAAATCATCTTTACTCCTGGACTTCAGTCAAACTGTTGCGACGATGATAATAAGCATTGAGCCCTTTACTAACTTGTGAAGTTCGTCGCATATAAGGGTCAGGGATGTTTGAGTTTTGGGCGGTGCTCTTATGATCATGTAGTGAAAATGCATCAATTTTTTAGAAATTCTTTGATTATTCCAAGGTAAACAATGTGTTCTCATCATGATGAACAAGAACATCTCTTCCAAATCTGTAAAATGACTCTTCTAAAAATATTAATTTTAATGGTTATCTAACAACCAAGATCTATATGATAAAAAGTGATGACTTTAACTTTTTTATCGTCAATTTCCCTTACTAATGCAGCAATATACCTTCATCACCTGCATGTATTCCAACAATCTTTTGGAATTCCATGGGTACCAATTGCGCTCCTTTATTAGCAGATCTATTTTTATATTCATATGAAGCAGAATTTGTGCAAAATCTTATTCGTGAGAAGAAGAAAACACTTGCTGTGGCCTTCAACTCGACATTTAGATATATTGACGACGTATTGTCAATTCACAATGGTAATTTCCATACCTACGTCGATATATCCTGGTGAGCTTGAGATAAAAGATACCACAGAGTCTGACACATCTGTTTCATACTTGGATATTTTACTTGAAAAAGACGTTAATGGTAATCTAACAACCAAGCTATATGATAAACGTGATGACTCTAACTTTTTATCGTCAACTTCCCTTATTTATGCAGCAATATACCTTCATCACCTGCATACCGAGTATATATAATTATCTCAGTTGATTCGATACGCAAGAGCATGCTCTACGTATGAACAATTTCTAAAATGGGGTAAATTATTGAAAAGCAAGTTGATGAAACAAGAATATCAACAGTTTCGTTTAAAGTCATCTTTCGTAAGCTCTATAGTCGATACAATGACCTTGTCAGCAAATAAAATTTATCATTGAGTCAAACGCTGACTGACGTTTTCCATACTATTTGTTAGTCCATTATTTATACACTGAATTGACGACGGATTTATCCGTTATTTTCCGATCGTGACAAGGAGCACACGGTGGGTGTGACCGGTCAGCAGGGGATGCTCACTCCTTCCATGGCACCTGATCCCACCTCTGATGTTTCGGAGGTCCGTGTTTGCTCTGCTCCTATTTTCTATTGTTTATGGACTTTGAGATTGAATACTGTTCGTTATCTCCATATCTTTCTGCCTATGGAGTTTATATCTCTCAGTTGATTCGATACGGAAGATCGTGTTCTTCGTATGAACAATGTCTAAAACAAGGTAGATTATTAACAAACAAGTTTATAAAGCACGAAAATCAGCAGTCTCATTTAAAGTCATCATTTTGTAAGTTCTATGGTCGATACAACATGATGACCTTGTCAGCAAATACAATTTAAGTCAAATGCTAATTTTTTTTATCATATAATTATTAGTCCAATATTTATACACCGAATTGACGACAGATTTTTCCATTATTTCCCGATTATGACAAGGAGTACACGGCGGGTGTTACCGGTCGGCAGGGGATGCTCACTCCTCCATGGCGCCTGAACCCACCTCTTATGTTTTGGAGGTCCATGTTTGCTCTGCTCCTATTTTGTATTATTTTATGGACTTTTGATCTTGAATACTTTTTTTTATCTCCATTTGTTTCATCCGTGATTTAAGGATTCTGGTGTTAGTATAATCTTAAGATACCAAGAAAAAATGCATTCATTTTTAGGTCACCTGTGTTACTCAAATGATCTATTGCTATATCCGTTTTGGTCCTTAGCCGTGCGTTAGGTACATTTGAATATTTTCCGCTCCTTCTCTGAAACAACTCAACCAATTTTAGCATATGGCATCTACGGGTGAAGGGAAACAATATTTTTATTTCATGGTCCCTGTCCCTCTGAGGGGATAAAACCATCAAAATTAGTGCTATGTTTAAAATTTTCCTCGTTTACTCCTGGAGATCAAGCAATCACACAACTGGCATGATTTTAATAAGCACTGAGTCCTGTACCAAAATTGTGAAATTCATGGCCCCATGGTCAGGGGTTCTGGTGTTAGAGTTAGAGTGGGGCTCCATTGATTATGTACTGAAAATGCAATAATTT